GTCCCTGCCAGGACCCATCCCCTGCCTGCTCCCCCAGTCTTCCTGAGCACTCCCTCATTGCAGACCCCCCCATGCAGTGCAGTGCAGTGGGGGGCAGCAGGGATTGCTCCCCTACCTGGCAGCATCCAGTGAGTCAGGGCTTTTTTTTTTTTTTAAAGAGCCAGGAGCTGGGGAGGGCAGGGCAGCCATGGGGGGCAGGGGTGGGAGAGAATTTGGGGATCAGGGGGCTTATAGCAGAGCCCCCCCATGCAATGGGGGGCAGCAGGGATTGCCTCCCCCTCTGCCTGGCAGCAGCTGGTGAGTGCCAGGCTTTTTTCCCCAAAGATCCTGGAGCTAGGGCCGGGCAGGGCAGCCATTTATGGGACTGGGAGAGTGGGCAGAGAATGGGGCCAATCTGGAGATTTGGCCAATTCAGTTGTGGCTGAATCTCCGAATCAGATTTGGCTGAATCGATTTGGGACAGTGATTCAAATCACCGAATCGAAACACTGTCCCCTGAATCAGCTGAATCTAAATCTGAAGCGAATACTGGCTGCTTCACACAGGCCTAACAGACACAACCACACAGTTCTAAAAAGAAGTCTTTTCGCCAAGTGCAAACTTTCCTGGAGTTGCATACTTAATGAAGTACTTCAGTTTTAGCATATGCATGTGTCTTTAAAATATGTGTCTGGAAATTGTTCTAATGCAATTCAATAGGAAATAGTTCTTACATATGTGGGATTGTTGGAGGCTGAAAAGACAGTAATAGTGTTTTTTCACTGCATTGCAGCTGAAAGGAATAAGACTTGGTATGAAAACTCAAAGTCAAGCACATTTTAAAAAATAGCTCATGTCTATCTCATCTGCTTCACTAATGATTTTATAATTCTGAATAATATGCCAAGGGCTCCCTCAGCACCTGGAATGCATACTATAGAGCTGTAATCAAGATGCCCAGCCCAGAGTTGCCATCCTGGACAGTTTGGAAAGTCTGAAAGAGGCCTTTTGAATGTTTTTATCTGCCAACAATATTGAGATTGGTGAAGGTTCTGTACAGCTTTAGGCCAATTTTGTAACACTCTGAGTTAACTGGTTGGGGGAAGGAGTGATAGTTCAATTCATGCATGTTGTTCCTTCAGAGAGAGGTACTTTGGAGCATCAATGTTTTTTGGGGGGTTTTAAAGAAAAGAACATACAAAAATGCACTGGAGCTAACATTAAGAATCTGAGACGCACAAGAACCCTGTTCTCTGAATGCTGTTTGGTGCAGCTGCTTGATTAAGAAAGATGCAAAGTGGGACAAAAATACAAAAGCTGTGGCAGCCTAGTAGCAGCTGGCAGTTTAAATTCTGGACATACCTGCCCTCCTTAATATTGTTCCTTGCAGAGAACCACAACTTCATGCAGTAAAACACACCACACTGGGTATTTCAGGTATCTCCATAGCTTATTCTGAATTAAGTGGGAGAGAGGGAAACCAAAGCAGCAGTCTCTTTTGAAGAAAAATCATTAACACAGGAGCCTTGCATAAGAATAAATCAGCTAAACTAAGCATACATTTACTGTGCAGTGAGCCCAACAGATCCCATCTGTATAGGGAGAGCAAATGAATTTCCAATGAAGATGAATGAATCTGTTTTTATGAATGCAAATGTTACTGACCGTTACAATTATCAGGACCCTTAAGAATTCTGCTGTGCTAGACAAAGAGGGTAGAGACAATTTCTAATTCATTCCAGGGGGTACACCAGCCACTGCAGCTGGTGAACTTTATATTGATTGTGTGGGAGAACTGAAGTAAGGAGTTCAAAATCACTTCTGAAAGGTGGACAGCCTCTTGACTTGAGGAAGGCGTTAATGAGTTCCCCAGCTATCTTTGACCTGACCTAAGCTTCTGTCTGTTTCAGCAGTATGTTATGGAGCAGATTAATGCACAGTTGCAGTTTTTGAGTGGAATGAGCCATTTACCCAGAACCGTTCCTTTTATTTTTGCAAACTAAGATAGCAAATGGTTAAGAACCGTGTGCTAATTCTGGAAAACTGGGTCTTCAGTTCAAGGCTGAAAGAGGAAGATTTTTCAGTGTCCATGTTTAATTGGCAGCTGTCTTTTTTCCATGCATCTTGGTCCACTCCAGATGCTGTGTACAATTCCCAGTATTGCACTAAACATCTTACTCATGGGTTCAGTCTTGCATCATGATTTTCATGCTTTTGAAACTTTGATATAAAGATTAAGGTGATTAAATGGAAGACACAGAATTAGCAGAAATTGAGCTGGATATGTGCAGAGAGGGTTTTTTAAGAGCCCTGATGACAACAACTTCTTTTGCCATAGTAATTCCATTTTAGAGGAAATACGGCATGCCAACTCATTATAGTTCGTTTCCAGTCTAGATATCTAGGAATTCTAAAATTCTGTATCAGATTCTTACTGAGTGATGACAAATGGGTTGTTTTTCAGCCAATGTAGAAATGTAATAACCATTGTTGCTGCTGCCTAGCAGATACATTATTTGAAATCTGACGGACTGTTTACAATCAATTGACTTTGGTGGAGCTGTGCTGACTTAAACTGCTGAGAAGCTGGTCAATTGAATTGTAGTTGTGAAAATGAGCTTAAAGATTTTGGGGGAGACATGACCATCCACTTCTTACCTTTTAAAAAAATCCAGTTGTGCTAGGAGAATTGCTATCACGGTAAAGAATACTTCCTGGATTGGGAAGAGGTCTCATGGCTCCCAGAGACCTAAAAGGAGGGCTTTTTAAGTTTTATTCCTCTTCCTATCGTGCCACACAGTGATTTGAAAGGGGCATCCTCTTAGCGGTGTGTGGAATGCAGGAAGTTCAGTTTAAAAAAATAAATAAATAAAAAATGCTAATGCTTTGATGTTTTCATGTGCCATCTTGCCCAGCCCCTCCCTTTTTTTCCTTCTGCAAAACTGGACAGGCAATATGAAAACAAGATCCTATCAAATGTTATTTTATTTGTTTTTAGTGAACTAGAAGTATCCTGTGTTAGACCTCGACTCCATGCGATGCCCAATGACTAGGGAGACAACGGATTGATACACGCATCACCTGCTCACATTGCTCGCCAACAGCTTTATTCAAAATGGAGACAGCTTTGGGCACGCTCCAACAAACTGTTGGAGCAGCCATGAACATTAGTTCTTTCCATATTTATACACCTTGGTTTATGCTTATTAACATTTACCCCATCTTTGTCCCTCCTTTGTTCCACCCTTATTCCTTCCCATCTTAAACTCTGCCTCTGTTTACCGTTTATTTCATTAGCAAGGAATTACCTATGCATTTCACTTATTTACATGACTTTTTGCTCTGAGCGCATGCCTAAGACTCTGACCCCTGCTTCTCTCAGTCACTTGCAATTTCTTGCTGATTTCCTTACCATCTCAAAGGTCTTACTTCTGTTTTGTTTCCTAATGATAGCCGTTGCTCTGCATCCTGTTCTTCTTACACAAATGAGCTACATATCTTACAATATTGTTAGGAAAATTCTTGCCTAACCGTCTTGCAATGTTACTTTTTACATTGTAGTTAGCAGCTTGCTAGACTGGGTTATAGCCTTTTATTTAGCTGCAAATCCAGTGCTCCCCAAGATCCAAATACAGTCACCCTAACATCCTAAAGACACCATTTCTCTTGATACTGTATCCTATCTTTGGAATGGAAAAAACTCAGTTTTAACAAGGCATCATGAAAGACCTTTCAGACAGTCATCTCCACATCAACAGAAAATCATCCTAAGAATAACAAGTAGTACCTCATAGTACCTTGTAGCCAACTATTTCAAATCATTTTAAAATAGGTGAGCACTGTAACATTTCTGTACATATAGCAGCAATTCTCATCCTCCAGACACTCCTCAGAAAATGCCAGCTCTTAAATTTCATTCATGTCTTGACTACGGGAAAATAATTGAGCTTCCCCCCGTAAAGAACTGAGACCACAACAGGTCAGAATGTTCTTAGCACTATGGATGCCTATTGGAAATATCTGGGTATATCTTGTAAACAAGTGTGGGCATGTGTAGACTAAATGGGGGCCCTAAATTGAAGTGGTGGGTTTTTAAAAAAAGTGGTTCAATTTAGTATGAAGTAAACCCCCATGTCATGTAGACCTATGTCTTACCTGCCTCTCCAGTGGTGGGGAGGGGAAGGCGAGCTGCTGGTGGGCGGAGTGGTTCCTATGCTCCCAAAGTCACTTAAGGCGCATCACGCCACCAAATGTGCTACAGAAGTTGGAATTAATGTGCAATACACCGCCAACACATGCAAACACCAACACCACTAAAACAGTGCAGAAGCATTTAACCCACTTTAAAGTGTTGTTAACACATGCCCCTCATTTTGTCTGCACATGCCCAAAGTGTATGTGTTTGCAAGCTTAATAGTCCTAATGTTGTGTAGCATCTTTAAAAGGATCTCACAGCATTTTAAGGTTTTTAGTACCCTGGTTGAGAATCACTGATTTAGCCAACATCCAGAAATGACTTCTACTTTTGGTGTCTCAAATTCCAGGTGCTTCAATGGATGCACGAATCTGACATTAATTTAACTGTAATTAATACTCTGAAAGTAACATTTACACTAGAATTTGCCATAGGAATTAGGGGAAAAACTACACCGTTGAGAAATTTCCCATCTGTTTGTTTTGTTACCTTTTTTAATCCCCATATTTTGTTACTTCACCCGAAACTTGGAGCCCATTTTTTTTCAGTGTTGGCTTCAGAGTCTCGGTCATGAGTTCTAGAGCAAATTACCAACAGAATTTGGGCACAGAACCCTTAGGCTCTAACTCTTCACTGCCTTGTTCTATATTAGAAAATCTCTCTCTCCTTTTCACCTGTGACACTTTGCATAGCTAAAAGAGTATTGGTTTGTTTTGTTGGAAGAAAATAAGTGTCAGCAGATTAACACAGTTTCTATACCGAACAGCTTATGTAGCAAGGGGGCTGTTAGTTTTTGATCAACATTACCACCAAGTGTAACGTGGTAACCACTAATGAATCTTCAAAGAGCCTGACCTAGTTTACAGCTGTTCAGCATGAGAAACTCCCAGCGTCTCCAACAAACGCTTTTATGCATTGATTTCAGTGTAACTGCTTAGATGCGTAGTCCATGCTCTCACATCTCCTTTACATTTGGCATCCTAGTAAAAGTATTGTGGTCTGTCCACCCGCCCACAGTTGTTTCCCTGTTACCTTGTAGTTAAGCTTCTGCAAATAGTTTAGCACGTAAAGGAACTGCTTTAATGACAAGTAGATTTTTCAATTGCCTCCTTTTAATTGGATGATGTGACAGCCCCAGACAAGGCTTAGACAAAATTGGTACAATTAAACTCCACTGAAAAAAAATGATGCTGGGGCCTGGGTTTGAGATCAAGCCTCTCTAACATAATGAGCTGTGCAGGTGTACAGCATAAAATGGGTATTTGAATTAAAATGTTAGTACTTGGAGAATACTTTACATGAGTGCCACAAGGAGGCACTTGTTTTTCCTTTGCTGGTTAGGAACAGCCTGGATTTTCTACCTGAAAAATGAAATCTTGTCAACTGAAATATTTAGCATTAACTAGAAACTGGAAACAAAAATCTCCTGGATTTCAAGGTGTGTATGAATGGATGCCTTAAATCGACTTGCTACAAGAACAGTTATAAAACTGCATTGGTTGGCTTGGTTATGAGAATTTATAAGCCGAGGAGGTAATTTTAAGCTAAAGTAGCTTGCAAGCTTTGGGTCAAGCTTTGGTTGTGCTTGCGAAGCACAAACAAGTCCCTGTGCTCAAAACTAAGGAGATTAGCACTAGTTGCTCCAGAATCCTATTAGCTTCAAAGCAAAGACTTGACAAGGTCTAGTTGTGTCTGTTATCATGTGCTACCTAATGACAACATGGAAAGCGTCTGGAAACAGGATCTTGCAGATTTTGCAAGCTAATTATCTCTGACCTATGGCATTCCTGTGTTTTGCTGGCAAAGTAGAACTTGTTAGATCTCCAGTCAAGCTGGGTTTTGTGGAATCGATGGAATATTTACCATTTAAGCTAAGGAACTAAAGAACTAGTCCCTGTGCTAAGCAAACAGCAGTTCATTTAAAGTTAATCTTGCATTTTAACATGCTTTAATTTGGAAACTGTCCTCTAAGGCAAAATATAGAAAATCAGCTGAAGACTGAAAAAGAGAGTTGAGATTATTTTATGCATTTGCAGCCCCACTTTGCCATGTCTGTCTATCTGTCTGATTCCTCAGTCGTATTTAGGTGGGCCATTCAACTGTCATATCACTTATTCCAACCATCAGATGATGAAATGAGTTTTCATAGAACCCCCAAAAGTCTGTTGCATCATTTGCCTTGCTGCTCTGAGAATGCCTGGCATTTAACTCCTTTAAATTTCACCATGTATTTGTACCCCTCTTACTTCCTGTGCTGGGGCACCAGTTCAAATGGGTCTTCATCATGAACCCCATTATGTCACTGTCTCATGTTCTGAATATTTAAAATACCTGAACTGCCATGAAATAAGTGGTGTAATCATGGTCCTAGAGCCTTTCCCTGTTATAGTTACTGGTAAATACCTGGAGACTTGAACGTGAGCAGAATTGAACTATCTGCAGTTCATCCCAACCTTTTGCGGAGTTGCTATTGCAGGTTTCCCTCACTTTATGCTGTACATGTGTTCCTGGAAAACAATGCATAACTCAAATTGGTATAAAGAAAACCCACTTTACAATGTAAAAAATAGCAATATGTTCCAAGACCTTGACTGTATTGACCCCCAGGCCCATTTCCACCACTTTTACAAGACAGTTTTGGTACTCACGAACAGCAGACAGGCAGTTGCTGCTGTGCATTGTGCTTTGTGCCCAGCTACAGCTGCCCCAGGAGCGGCACTGCTGAGCTGTGCTGTGCCCCCTGCCTGCTCAGTGGCAGGATGCACGTGGCATTGCATCGCTCCCCGAGAAGCTGCAACTGCAGAAGCATGAGCACCAACTGCCCTGAACAACGGGCTTCCACCACACAGAACACATAAGAATGAATTTACCTCGCGTATAACAAATTTTTGGTATCGTCA